ACCTGCCGTGCGACCCCAGGCCGGTCTCTGCCTCTTCTGGGCCTCAGTTTCCCCATCTAGGGAGGGTCGCCCTGAAGGCCTTTCCAGCTCTGACCAAAGAATGTGCCCACCGCCTGCCTTCTGATGGGGGCTCCGCCCGGGTGAGGCCCAGAGCGGAGGCACACACGGCCCACCTCCCCACGGGGACACATTCCCCACGAGAGAGAGGGATGTGTCACCGAGACCGTATCCTTCTGGAAAACGCCCACAGTTCAGTTCTCTCCCGGGTTTTTACTGGAGGAATCGCATCCTCCTTGGTCACATCTCCTTGGATCTATTTTTGGCCTTGGCGGCCTTGATGTGGCGGAGTGTGCGGGTGTTCCCTTTTAATTTGGGGTCTGAAGCCGTCTGAGGCCAGGGCCGGTAATTATGAGTGCAGAGCCATTTATGGAAAGAGCTCCGAAAAAAGTCAGTAATGAGAACTGACTAAAAATACCTCAGCAATGAAACCCTGGGCCTGCTCTCGGCAGCGCTGAGATTTCTGGTGGGAGGAAGCCACTCAGGGTGCCGAGCCCAGGGGTGGTCAATTCTGCGGCTCCCGCGTGAGGACCCGGGTCTTGTTTCAGGTCTGAAGCGGTCCCTTGGCCTCCGTTCCCAGCAGGACCAGCCCGACAGGCCCAGCCCGTCCGCCTGCGGGGCCCTGGGGGAGCCTGCCCTCCACCTCAGGGCCGGCGAGTCCCACAGGAAAGCGAGAAACATGAGTGGGCTCCGATGGAGGGTGGAGGCACACGCTGTGACCTGGGAGCCGCTCCCAGACCGGCCGCGAGGGCCGGCGGTGCTGACGCTGAGCCGCCGTCCTGGGGGCCAGCAGCCCCTGGGAAGACGGGAACGGAGCCTCCTGCGTCCGCCTCCCATTGTTTGGCCCCTGCCCTCGAATTGCTCACCATCCAGGGGGCAGATGAACCAGGGACAAGGCCCTTGGAAGGGGGAGAGGGGAGACCAGCAGGCTGATCTGTGTGGGGTCCGAGGCGGACGAGGGGCTTTCGCAGCTGGACTGAGAGGAAAGCAGCCTTCAGACATGGCAGGGGGCCACCCAGGAGAGAGCGGCTTCCAGAGGGACTCAGGGGAGGGTGTTGGCAGCCGGGAGGCCGGGGAGGACGAGTGGATGGGCCGGGCCAGCTCAGGGGGCCCTGGAACGCAGAGCCCAGCTTAGGCGCCTCCCGGGCCCTGCGGGGCTGGGGAAGGGTTGGAGGGCAGGAAGGACAGACGGACCGGTCAGAAGATTCCGTTCTCTTCACCGCCGCTCTGGGCTGGAGGAAGAGGGGTGCTTCTGCAGTCTTACTTTTTGGACAGAAACAAGATAAACTCGGGTCATCTGGGTGACTCTAAATTTTGTCCAGGGCACAAAAATAGCCAAAGGCTTTGCGGGTGTCGGGCTGGTGGACACAGGGAGTGGCCTCTGGAGGTGCCGCCTGTGAGTGGCGGGTGCAGGGCCTCAGAGGCCGCCCCCGGCCCGCAGGGGCCCTTCCCGCAGACGTGGGGCGGGAGGCTGTTTAATCGGCCTGGAGGAGAAGGCCCAGAGTCCCTTTAGTGCATGATGATTCATGACTGTTTATTGTTCCGGAAGCCACATTAAGGCCATTCAGACACTAAATTGGTTTGCTGCTTCCCCAGACAGAAGCTGGTTCAGTGTTTGAACATTTTTGGCAGGTTTTATAATTTTGTGGAAAGTAAACGTTGAGAGGTCCCTATTGAGCAGGCATAGCTTTGTCTGTTCCCCATGCCCAACAAATAGCTTTGTGCTCATGGCTTCTCCTCCTTTTGCCATTGTGTCCCTGGGGTTGTCGTGTCACAGGATGAGTCCCTATGTAACGTCGCTAGGGTAGTGCAGGACTATGTCGCCAGATTCCTCTCCACAGCATTCCTGCCAGCGACGTGTGTGAATGTTCACGTTTGCCCTCACCTATTTCTCAAAGGAATGCCACACTGACCACCCTATTAAAAGGAGCCCCCGCCCCTTTCCCATTACTCTTGATCCCATAACTCTCTATATTGCACTTTCGGTAGCTATGACACCTCTCGTTTTACTTTTTTTTGTTTATCTTCTGACTCCCCCATTAGACTGTAAAAGTCACAAGTGCAGACACCTGACTTATCTGTCCTGTTTATGGCTAAATTTCCAGTGTCCAGAACAGGGGCTTACATACAGTGAAGAACTTGATAAATTTAATCATAAATTGAACTTGATAAATTAATGAATAAACAAATCAGCAAATGAGTACAGTTATTTAGAGAAACATCATTCAGAGTCTCCCCTTCCCTCCACCCCACAGCCTTAGATTTTCTGACATGGCCTTTTGACAGTATCACATCTTGGCCCAAATTTGGAAGATTGCAAGTCAGGCTTATTCTAAACTCCTGTTGAATGGCCACCCCACCCAGTCCACTGCCTATTTACAAAGCACTTTCGCAGCCTGGGAGGAAAGCTGGGCAATATCTGTATTCCCAGTTCACAGAGGAGGAGACTACGCCAACAGGGGAAGTTCGTGCCTGCAAGGCCAGGCCGCACTGACCACTGGCCAGAGCGCTCCATGCTGCCGAAGCTGCCTCACTGGCTAAAGCAGGCTGGGTCTGCACAGTTAACAAGGGGGAAATAGAGGGACCAGAAAATGCTTTCCGAGAACACCGCTTTTGGGAAATATCTCTCCTAACTCGAAGCAGCAGCCACTGAAAAAGCTGCAAATCCGCAGGTGTCCTCTTCCCGCCCTCCCACCGACCATCAGATAAACGAGTTGCTCTCTTTACCCGGTTACACACTTCAGGAAATTTCACCAACTTCTGATGAAAACTTTTTTTCTAAAAGTTCCCCACCTTCCGGAGCTTGCCTGGAACAGCCAGGGTGGGCAGTTTCCTGTGCTGGAGATACTGGGTGGTTTATCAAAACACAGAGAACAGAAGTCTGGAACTGGAGTCCGTTCAGGTGGACAAGGCGCTCTTGACCCAGCAGAGGGAGGCCGCGTGGCTGGTGCCTGTGTGGAACTGGCAGGTCTGTGAGCTGTTCCCTCAGTCCCCGGATCCAACATGAAAATCGGCGCAGGCCTGAGAGCTTCCCAGTGGCCCACCCGTCAGTTCCCGCTGCGCCTGGGGATAGATGCGCAGAACGACGCTCTGACAGGGTCTGATGAGGGTGTGAAGGAATGACGTTCCTGCGCTCTGTGCCACACCCTGTGACAGCCAACAGCCTGGACCTATTTCATCCTGTGGATGCGGGATCTTACGCTGCTGTGTAATGGAGGCGGTCTGTGCGGTCCCTGAATGAACAGGAATTGTCACCAAAGTTGTGTGTGCGCGTGAGTGTGTCTGTCCAGAACCCTGCCCTCCATGCTCGCTGCCCGTGCGGGAGGACCCGTACTGCCCTGCGTGTCCGACACAGCCTGGCTCCTGGTCGGCATTTGCTGTGTGTCCAGCGCCCTAACAATGGACATTTTATTTCCTCTTCTCCCCAGCCTGGGGATGAAACACTCATCTCCTCCTGCCAAAACATGTGTGTCCGCTGGCTCCACGCAGCACAGCTGTTTGCCCCGTCCATCACTGGACCAGGTTCCCACCGCGAGGACAGGAAGTGCTCCCCACATCCACCCCCGCCACCCGCCTGGTGACTTGTGGTCACTGAGCCCAGGAGCCAGAGAAGAATTTTTAAAAAGACTCACAGACATATAATTAAAATCTCAGTGTTGGGTTTTGGGGAAGGTGCTGGGCGGCTCCCGCCCCTGCTTTCCGGAAACACAGATTTTTAGTGTTTGAAAGTGACAGAAGGCTAAAGTGAGACGGCCCTAAATATACTGTCCTGGGCATTTCCGGCAGCTGGGGAAATGTGGGATTTATTCTGCACCCGAGGCCTCTTGCCCAAAGTGTTGGACCAGCCCCCGCAATGGTGCCACCTCGGGTCCCCCTCCAGCCTGTGTTTCGCCCCCGCCTCCACGCGCAGCTTTCACTCCACGCCAGTCTCCTGCTCCTCTGCCCCCCGAAACACTGGCCCCCAGTGGCCAGAGGCACAGCCCGTGCTCCTAGGCCGGGACTCCAGCCCTCCGCAGTCAGGCCAGAGCCAGACTCACGCCCCATACCCAACCCTGCTGATGTGTGGGTGGCCCTGGCCCACTCAGTCTGTGCATTCGATGTCCCCTCCACCTAGAATGCCCTCCCTGCCACCTCTTCACCTGCCAAGACTCCATCCATCCTTCAAGGCCAGTTCAGATGTCACCGCTTCCAGGAAGCCTGCTCGGATGGCACCATACCATGGAACTTCCCCAGCCCTTGACAGGGCCCCTCCAGCGGCTGTCACTCCCACTTTGCTTCTCCTTGTTCCTTTCCATCTCTCCCCCCAACCCTCCCTCGTCCTTCACCTTGTTCCCAAAGTACCTGCCATCCTTTTGCCCTTTGCTGTGTTTTATGGCTGTTGTTTTCCTGCCTGTGCCATTAATCCCTCAGCTCTAGGCCTTTGCTCACTCTGGTCCCTTCCTCTACAGCATCCTTTTCCCACGACCTCCTGGCCAGTTCACTGTCACCCTCAAGGCCCAGTGTCAGCTGTGAGCACTCACTGTCCCCCTTGTCCCATCCACACACATCAGTAGACTCTGAAATGCAGTCGCTCATACCCATGCCCACCACGTGGCCTATGCTGCCTTGGGTCTGAAGTCCAGCTCCCCAGAGGCGGGACCTGTCCTCTCTGTCTCATCTCTGGGTCCCAGAGCCAGCAGGGGCTGAGCTGGGACCTGCTGGCTTTGAGCCTTGGGGGCCAGAAATGAAAGCTGCCCTCGTTGGCCCCGACTGTGTGTCCCGTGCTGTGCTGGGCACCTCGCCGCAGGGCCCCGGGGCCTGTCAGCGCGATGGGCTCAGGCCCGTTCCCCGAGCAGGAAACGCCTCTCCCCAGGCAGCCCGGCCCCTGGCTCCCACCAGGCCCTGCCCCCCTGGGGCCCGAGCCCAAGACCAGGAGTGAACACCAGCCTTGCTGTGTCTTGCAGTGGAGCTCGACCGCGCCCTGGGCCAGCAGGAGCCCCACTGGAAGGAGTTCCGCTTTGACCTGACCCAGATCCCGGCGGGGGAGACGGTCACAGCTGCCGAGTTCCGCATTTACAAGCTGCCCAGCACTCACCCGCTCAACAGGACCCTCCACGTCAGCATGTTCGAGGTGGTCAGGGAGCGAGCCAACAGGTGCCTGCCCCACGCCCAGCCTCCCGGTCAAGCCTCTGTCGGTGTGTCTGGCCCAGCCTTGGGGGGGCATTTCCCAGAGGACAGACGGGGAGCTTCCTGGGAGCACACCCTTCTGATGGAGGATGCTCGGCCCAAGGCCCTGGCACCCTGGCTCCAAGTCGCCTCCCTGCCACCCTGGCTGTGGGACCTTGGGTGGGTCACTGAGCTCCCAAGCCTCAGTTTCCCCATTGTCCACAGGGGCAGTAGCACTTTCCTACGGTAGATGCCGTGACATAAGGCGCCCAGCTCAGAGCCAGGAGGGTCGGTGCCCCACGAGTGCCCCCCAGGTGGGCACTGGAAACACGAAGGCAGCTGTGCCGGCTTCGGTTAATTGTTCTTTCGTATCCACAGGGAGTCTGACTTGTTCTTTTTGGATCTTCAGACGCTCCGAGCTGAGGACGAAGGCTGGCTGGTGTTGGACGTGACAGCAGCCAGTGACCGCTGGTTGTTGAACCGTAGCAAGGACCTGGGACTCCGCCTCTATGTGGAAACAGAGGACGGTAAGCCTCAGGCGGTGAACCTCCTCCTGGGGGGCTCTGATCCGAGGGGCCTGGGCTGGATCCCAGCTCTGCAGCCTCCCAGCTGGAACCCTGGCCGGTTACTTTCCCTCCAAGCCTTCGTTTTCTCGTCTGTAGGGGGATTCACACAATCTTTCATTCACCAGGTGTTTGGGGGCAGAGCCTCCTGTATCCTGGGCAGTGGGGGATAGGAAGCCCAAAGGCGCGCCCCAGATTGGCGAGGGTGACTACAGCCGTGGCGGGGGCGGAGCTGGTCAGGGAGAGGTCGGAAGGAGAGGAGGTTGAGAGAGGCGGGCAGGGCGCGTTCTGAGTTAGGGGAAACCAGGGTAAGGGGTTGGAGTTTTTAGGGAGCTTTTAGGATTTAATAGTGGTGGGGGATGGCAGGATCTGATCAGCTCTTTATGGACGATCCCTCCAGGAGGCGTGGAATCGCTCCCATCCCTTCAGTGTGGCCTACCCTTAGTAACTGTCTTCCCAGAGGACAGGCTGTAGCGGGAGGGGAGGGAACTTCAGAGTGGAAGAGCTGACCAGCACCACCTCAGCCAGGTGACCAAGGCTCCCATGAATAAGTCCTGTCGCTCCTGGGTACCCGGGATATGAGGGGATGAGAAGGACTCTTCTCCCAAAACCCATAACCCCAGTGTGACCATGAGAAAAACACCGGACAGGCCCAGATTGAAGGACAGCCCACAGAATGCCTGACAAGTGCTCCTCAAAGCTGTCGAGGTCATCAGAAACAAGGGAAGCCCGAGAAATTGTCACAGCCCAGAGGTGCCTGAGGATGGCGTCCTGGGAGAGAAAAGGGGCATTGGGGAAAGCTAATGAGAGCGGAATACATGGTGCTGTTTAGTTAATAAGAAGGCATTGATGTTGGTCCGTTAGTTGTGACAAACACACTATAGTAATTGAAGTGTTAACATTTCCCAGGGAACACTGGGTCTGGGTGTAGGGGAATTCTCTATGCTATCTTTGCAATTTTTCCATAGATCTCAACCGCTGTAAAGTAAACACTTCCTTTACCGTTTGCATAAAATAAACAGCCCCTGACTTCAGTGGGCTGTGTAAGCTGTGGGGACAAGAGTCAAGTGATGCCAGAGAGGCCCCGGGAGCCACGGTGCCTCAGCGAGAGCTGGGAGGGGGTTGGTAGCAGCAGGAATGGAGAAAGGCGGGTAGAGAATAAAGTGGACGGATAAAGTCCACGGATAAAGTGGACGGAGCCAGGGGATTTTTTTTTAAATTACAGTTTACATTCAGTGTTATTTTTTATTAGTTTCAGGTGTGCAGGGTAGTGCTTAGATAATCATATACTTTAAAAAGTGTTCCCCTATTATTTCCAGTACCCACCTGACATCATATATAGCTGTTACAATATTATCAACTATATTCCAAATGCCGTATTTTACATCCTGTGACTATATTGTAAGTATTAATTTGTGCTTCTCAATTCCTTCAATTTTTTCACCCAGTTCCCCAACCCCTTCCCCTCCGACAACCATCAAGCTGTTCTCTTTGTGCCAGTGGATTTAAAGTGTATATGTGTGTGTGTGTATTTTTTCTTTGCCATTGGGGAAAAATAGAGGAGGGGCAGGTTTGAGGTAGGAAATGAAGAGTTCTCTCTGAGCCCTGATATCATTGATAGCCCCGGCAGAGGTCCAAAAAAAATGTCACCCCAGGAAAGGTGCGGCCAGAGACACAGATGTGGGAACAACGGACATAAAAGTGGATATAGAGTCTTGAAACTGCAGCAGACCGCCTGGGGAAGGAGCTCAGCCACCGAACCTTAAGGGGACCTGCGACTGAATCTTCCCCTTAGTGGTGGTACCACTGGGGAAGCCCCATCCGGGTGGGATTTGTGGGTGCGCCACCCCCATCCCCAGTGTCAGAGTAGACAGTCCCCAGCCAGGTCTCCTCTGCCACCTCTCTGTCTGCTGTTCCTGGATGGGGAGGCTGAGCGTCTGGCATGCCCCTCGAGTGGGAGACATGGCTGGGCGGTGTCGGGGCACTGGCAGGCTGGGGAATCACCACCCAGGCGCCCTTCCTGCTCTGTGACGCGCAGCCCGGGGCACACAAACCCGCCACCTGGCCCTGGCAGAGCCAGTCCGGGGCCGGCCACAGAGCAACAGATTGAAGGACAGCCCACAGAATGCCCATCAGAGGATGGGCGCACTGAGGCTCCTGGGCGTTTCGCTCAGGTGCTGCATGCCCGCTTGCTGCTCAGGCAGCGTCTGCCACTTTGCTATCAGCGCTTGTGGCGCGCCAGATTCTACACAGACCCCGTGGAGGCCGTGAAGGACATCTCTGATGGAGCGGAAATCATGGTCGGGGGCTTCAGGGTCTGCGGGATTCCCGAGAACCGGATAGGAGCACTGCTCAAGACGCGCGTGAGGGACTTGACCATGGTCAGCAGCAACGTGGGCGTGGACTACTTCGGGCTGGGCCTGTTACTGGGGACCAAACAAGTCACTCGCATTGTCTGCTCCTACGTGGGAGAGAATGCGCCCTGTGAGCACCCGTTCCTGGCCGGAGAGCTGGAGCTCGAGATGACGCCCCAGGACACCCTGGCCGAGTGCATGCGCGCCGGTGGGGCCGGGGTGCCCGCCTCCTACACGCCCACGGCCTATGGGACCCTGGTCCAGGAAGGAGGCGTCCCCATCAGGTACCACGACAACGGCCACATCGCCGTGATGAGTCAGCCCAGAGAGGTGAGGGAGTTTCGCGGGCAACACTACCTCCTGGAGCGCGCCATCAGGGCGGACTTCGCTTTGGTGGAAGGGTGGAAGGCCGGCCGTGTGGGAAACGTCACCTTCAGCAGGAGGGCCAGGAGCTTCAACCTGCTCATGTGCAAAGCTGCGGAAACCTCCGTGGTGGAGGTTGAGGAAACTGTGGACGTGGGGTCGTTTGCCCCAGAAGACATTCATGTTCCTCACATTTATGTAGATCGCGTGATACAGAGGGGAAAGTATGAGAAAGGAATTGAGCACGTAACAATCGGGGAGATGAAGATGGAAAAGCTGGGACTTCGGATGATGAAAGGGCACGAATCATCAAACGGGCGGCTCTCGAATCTGAGGACAGCATGACGCCAACTTGGGCTTAGGGATCCCTCTCCTGGCCGGCAACTGCACCAGCCCCACCTTAACTGTTCAGCTTCACAGTGAAAATGGAATCCTTTTCCATCGAAAGAGGCGGCGGATGCAGACCTCATCAATGCGGGCAAGCAAACAGTCACCATTCTTCCCGGGGGCTCTTTTCTCTCCGGCGATGACTCATGTGCCGTGATCCGAGGGGGACACCTCCACCTGACCACGCTAGGAGCCATGCAGGTTTCCAAGTACGGTGACCTGGCGGTCTGGATGGTCCCCGGAAAGAACGTGAAGGGAACGGCGGTGCGATGGATCTGGTGTCCAGTGTCAGGACCAGAGGAGTGGTCACCATGGAGCACTGCCCCAAGGCCGACGACCCCCAAATCTGGGGGGAATGCACGATGCCCCTGACTGGGGAGCGGTGCGTGGGCCGGATCGTCGCGGAAGAGGCCGTGTTTGATGCGCACAAGCAGAAGGACTGACGCTGACTGCGCTCTGGGAGGGCCTGGCCGTGGAGGACATCAGGGAGGGCACGGGGCGCGCCTTGGCCGCCGCGCCCGACCTCAGGCCCTTGCGGCAGGCGGCCCCCTCACTGGGGAGGAGGCCTGGCTCCCCGAGGCTGTGTTTTCCACTTTAACCTCAGGATTTCATCCAGAGGAAGTGGGGGATCACTTTATCCAGTTCACAAGCAGTCCGACCAGTTTTCTCCTGGCATCTCAGGCTACAAAGACTTTGTTCTCGCAAGAGGGAAATGACTTTGAGAGAAACAAAAGAGGAACAGAGACGTGGACCTCGTGTGTTCTGTGGGTACTCAGAAAGCTCTGCTGCGGTCACTGAGGACATTGGCCGCCCTCTTCCCTGGGATGTTTAGGTGAAATCTGTGCAGCTCGAGATGACCCCGTAAGAAGGATTTCTCCCCTCAGGAATGAGTCAGGAATGTAGGGAGGATGAGGAGGGCGCGAACAGCTCCACCCAGAGTGGAGCTGAGGCACCGTCGCACTAGTACCGTGAAAAATGCACGAACATCAAAGTCCGTTTGTGATCCGAAGACACGCTGTCTGAATGAAAGATGTTTTTCCTTTGGCCTGTCTTTCTTCCTAATTTCTCTCAACTTTATTTTTTTTAAAGGTTTTATTTTATTTATCTTTAGAGAGAGGAAAAGGGAGGAAGAGAGAGAAGGAGATGACCCAGAATCAATTGGACCTTCTGGTTCGCGGGCCGGCGCTCAATCCACTGAGCCACACCCGCTAGGGCCTCTTTTGACCCTTCTGCTTTTCCTTTTGTGGCCTTTCATTTTGTGACTAAAGTCTGTTTCCCTGCAGCCTCACCTTCTCCAACCCCACATGTCTCCTCCTTGTTGCTATATCGGTGTCCCCAGAAGGAAAGCAAGTCCTCCTCAGGGGGACAGGGACCCGGTAATGGGAGGTACTGAAGGGGGAGAGACGGTTGGTCTGACATGCCGGCAGGAAGTTTCCTCCATAAATAGTCCACCTGTGTGTTGCCAAGGCTGTGGCTTCCGACAGGAGGAGTTCTGGAAACCTAGCCCATGGACCGAGATGGGTTTTCTCATCTTAACTCATAGTGTTCCGGCGTCACCCCGAACAGACACTTAGATCCTGCCTCTCTGTTGTGGAGCCCAGTCCGGCCTGTTGTTCATACTCTCTTATAACCCAAGAGCGCCTGTGAGGTGTTTTATCCTGACTCCTTAGTGTCAAAGACAAAAGAGAAAAAAGTGAGTTTATGTGTGTGTGTCTGGGGAGTGGTGGGGGTGTTAAAACCTGACACGGAGCGGGCACTTCCTAAGCACAGCTCTAGGGGGCGCACAACCAGCATGAGCCCCTTGGGGAAGAGCAGGAAATTCCAGCTGGACAAGGAAGGCTTTTCAGGGAGGCCCTATTGAAGCCTCACCCCCAAAGAAGGGACAGATCCTGGAATGGAGAGGTGGGAGACAGTGCTCACTGAGGGGGCCGTTTGGGGGTGTTGGGGGGAAGTGGCCAGGGACCATGACCAGATAGGGGTGGGTGGCATGGAATGTCACTGAGTGGACAGGGGCACCTTTGGGGGCTTCTGGGCAGATATGCCGTGGGTGTCAGGAGAACCTTCCATCAGCAGCATGGAACGGGCAGAGGTTCCAGCGCAGACAAGTTACAGGGCTACTAAGCAGGAGAAAGGAGGAAAAGGATTGAGTTTCCTGTCCTCGTGCAAGGAAGTCACACCTACGGGACAAAAACGGACAAGGTTAACAGACCTACAGGATTCCCTTCAGGTTTCAAGCATGCACCCTGAGTGTCCTTCAGCGTGACCAGGGTCACATCCATGACCGGGCCAGGCGCTGCCGGGAAGGCTCAGGTGCCACCCAGAGCCTGGGGAAGAGATGGCAGCCCTCCTGGCCGGGCACATTTGGGGAGGGGTATGAATTAGGGCCCGACACCTGCCCTGGGACAGGATAGGGCGAGGGAGCTGCCGAGACATCTGGCCCCTGATGGGGCGGACTCAGAAATGGGGTGAAGCGGGAAGCCTTATGCGGCCCGCCTGGCTCAGAGGGACGGCGTGTTCCATCGGCCCCGGGGGAGTCCTGTGTGGCCCACGTCTCCAGGCACGGCTGCAGGCACCCCGCATGCCAGCACGCTCCCACGGTCAGGTCTAGGGGCAGGGATCCGGGACCCCAGGGTCTCCTAAGCCCCCACCACTGCCTTTCTAGAAAGGGACCTGCCAGAGCTGGGCAGCCCAGGGCCCCACCCACATGACAAGCAGGAGAAGGGAGCCCTGCTCAGGAGGCCATGGGCAAAAAGCCGAGCCCTCTGGGAGGGGAGCTCTGGGCTCTGGGAGGTGGGTCCTGGGGTCCTTTCCCAGGCCTCCTGGACTAGGACTTCTGAAAGACCAGGGCTCAGTCCCCTTTCTCTCCTCCCCACCTCCGGCCAGGCCTCTGCACAGTGTGCTGGGGAAGGCTAGTATTGTCCTGGCAGGGTGGCAGCTTGCTTCGGACCTTGCACAGATACCGTGCTCACAGGCCTTAGTTTCTGCTTCTGTGAAATGGGAACCGAGGATCAGCTGCTGCAGGATCCTCTATCAGGTTCCCCCGCGCCCCACGCAGGCCTGCCTCAGTGGCTTGCTGCCTCAGTGGCATTGCCTAATGGGCCTACTCTATCATTCTCTCTACACCCAGGAGACCCCAATAAAATCTTTGAACTGACAGTTGCACAAAGAAAAGCAAACAGTGAACATGACTTCAGGGGACCAATCAGTCCCCCTGGCCCCTCAGTGGACAGGGCAGTGGCACACACAGGCCCAGAGGGCTGCCTGGGCCCGAGGCCGTCCCCGTGTGTCAGCCAAGCCGTGGAGCTCCACTCCAGGAATGTGTTGATTATAGTCACCTGTGCGCTCCTGGCTGCACTATTGCCTCCTTGTCGTGGCCTCACTGGCCTTTCCCAAGCCTTTCATGGGTCTGTGGCCTGTATCCTCATGGTTCCACCGCTTCCTGACGACTGTGACCTCCCCTGACCCAGACTCCCAAATGGCTTCTGTCTGGGCTCCTTCCAACAACAGCTGCTGCAGCTGCAACCTCCTGTCTTAGCAGGTCCAGTCCTGAGTGGAACTTCTGATGGGCCCAGGGCATTGTTTTGTGGCAGGTGAAGTCATAGGTTAAAGGTTAGTCTCAGGATTAATTAGGTGTTCAATTCACTAAGGCCCATGGTCACAGGTCTAAAGCACAGCTATTTAACAGCTGACCTTTGAGCAGGATTGTGGGTAGGGCAGGCAATGTCCTTGACCCATAGTGTATAATAGAGAATCATATTAGGCCTGCTAAAGGAACAAATATATACATATTTATATATATATATTTTTTTATTTAAAGGAACAAATATACATATACACCTATGTATATGTACATATACACACTATGTGTAAATGCATGTGTAGTTATGTACAGACATACGTGTATGTATGTGTGTGTACTGGTTTTGCAATAATGAGGGAAATGTACACAGAAGTGGAAGAGTTGGCCCCGTGCTTTAGAAACAGAAAAATGAGTTAGTAATCACGCTCCTGTTGTTAAAATCCCACAGGAAAGGAAAATGAAGAGGTTCTATCTCATTCTCTTCTTTATAATGAAAGCCAGGAAGTAACCTAAATGTATAACGATAAACTAATCTCCAAGTAAATGATGGTGTATGAGTTTTTCTCAAAAGCCTTTTTACAGTTGTTATTATATTGCTTTGACAATTAAAACATCAAGAGGTCGTTTGGGAATACAAAGAGGTCCAGGAAGATAGTTTCCTTGGTGGAGTCGACATTTGCAGGGCTAATGAGTGTTTTTCACAGCGGCCTCGGTCTTTAAGCGGCTGTGGGTAAAATCCCATTTTTATAGACCTCGCCATTGCTAGGGCTGAGGCCCCAATCATGTCCCTGCCCGCAGCCCTCTCTCTCTTTCTTTTTTAAACCACTAACCAGGTCTTGTGGATAAGAACTCGGGCTCTGGAATTAGATGACTTGGGTAAAACCCTGGCTCTGGGACTGTGGCTCAGTGTCTCTGCCCCACTGAGCCCGGTGTCTGTCTGTAGCATCAGGAAGGGCGAGTGGCATCAGGAAGGGCGAGCGCCCTGCTCCTGGGCACTGCTCAGCGGAGCGAGCGCTGGCCCAGCCCCGGCAGCTGCTGCGGTCAGCTGGGTGTCATCCGTCCCACGCTGACACCCCGGGAATATGGGGGCAAGGCAGACCTCGGGCCTAGGAGTCCTGAGACCGAGGTGGGTCCCTGGCCGTGGGACTCTGGGATATCATGGGGCGACTGTGAAGGTTCTCAGTGACACGCGAGGTCCAGGGTTACTGTAAAGATGAGCGGGATCATCGGTGGGAAATGACGCCGAAAGCTGGAAAGGGCTTCTCGAATGGCAGTGTACGCAACCGTCACCCCTGCCGGCCCTGCGGTTCACGAGGCCCCCTCCCACCGTCTCCTTCAGACCCGCCGGCCCGGGGCCCGGGGCTGGACTTGGGGCTCCGGTCTTCAGAGGAGGAAACCGAGGCCCTCAGCTTCACGCTCCTGGGCCCGCCCGGGCCCCGGCAGAGGTCCCAGCGGGGTCCCCGTGCAGAGCCACAGCCCTCCAGTGACCGCTCTCTTTCCTCTCTCTGTCTCAGGGCACAGCGTGGATCCTGGCCTGGCCGGTCTGCTGGGGCGACGGGCACCGCGCTCCAAACAGCCTTTCATGGTCACTTTTTTCAGGGAGAGCCCCAGCCCCATCCGAGTGCCTCGGGCAGTGAGGTCCCTGAGGAGGAGGCTGCCGAAAAAAACCAACGAGCTGCCGCAGCCGAACAAGCTCCCGGGGATCTTCGGTGAGGGCCGGGGCGGCCTGGGTCTCGGGCCCGCGGGCTCTTGGCCGAGGACCAGTGGTGGCAACAGAATCTTCTGGCCTCAGAAGGGGTCAGGCTGATGGGCACCCTCCAGCCACCTCTCCTGACACCCTCCTTTGCCCCGTGCCCCCTGTGGACCGGCCACTGCGCTGGGTCTCGGGCCTCCCTGCCACCCGGAAGTCCCTTCTCTGCCCTCCCCCGGCTGCCCAGGCCTTCCCAGACGCCTCCGTCAGGGTCGGGTGCCCGCACCCGGGCAGCACGGCGCCTGTGGCCCTCGGCTCTCTCCCAGGCACCCTGCAGGATGCACAGCCAGTGAGGCAAAGTTGTCCCCACCAGGCGGAGACCCTCAGGATCAGGGTCGGGCCTGCCCTGCCCATGTGCCTCCCTTTCCCTCATGGGATCGGCCCCTTGGCTGGCTCAGCGTGAGCCACTTGACCTGTGGGATGGGCGTGGCAGGACAGCGGGGCGAGGGCAGGACGTGTCTCGGCGGAAAGCAGGAGGCGCCCGAGCCTGAGCCGTCTATCAGAGTATCAGGAGGCCCACAGGCTGAAGTTGGGGAGGGGCCGGGCTGAGCACAGGGCAGCTCTGGAGCCATCTGGAGCCATCGGAGGTTGTTGAGTTGGGTCATGGCACCAGCAGAGCTGCAGGGATGGGCTTCATGCGGCCAAACGGTTTAGTTTCCCATCATTCCTTCATTCCCCACACGTGCCCATCAGGGCATCCCCTGCCCCGGGAGCCCCTTTGGCAGCTGCTCAGAGCAGGGCCCCAGAAAAGACCCTGTGCCATCTGTCCCCTGCAGATGACGTCCACGGCTCCCACGGTCGGCAGGTGTGCCGTCGGCACGAGCTCTATGTCAGCTTCCGGGACCTCGGCTGGCTGGTAATTGCTACTCTCCCCTCACTTTCTTAGATGACAATCTCCACCTCAAGGTTGTAAGTGGCTCCAGGAGGAGGGAGAATTATGGGGAATCTTATTTTCTCATGTATTATTGTTGTCTGTGTTTTCCATGTTTTGTAAAACGAGAATGTGTTACTTTCATTGTGAAAAAGTGTTTTTTGGTAAAACCCATGAAAATGGAGATAACCTGAGTCCTGAGCCATAAAATGTCAAGAGTTACAATAGGGAAACCGCAGCCAGGGTGGCAGTGCCTCTGTGCCTTTGCTGCGGCGGCAGCGGCAGCACCCATGGGCCGTGGGGGGCAGGCTGGGAGGACAGTGCCGAGTGCTGATGGCAGGTGGCGGGAACAGAGCTTGTTTCCAGTCCTGTCTGCTGAGGGTCTTGCAGTGGATGTCAGGCTTTTGGGGGGCTGCCCCAGGAGGGGCTCAAGGGTGGGTTGGCAGGTCCCTGAGGCTGAGTGAGGGAGGGTGAGGGGCAGCCCTGAGTTTTCTTGTGACCCGTGCTGGGTGGAGAAGGGGCTTGGGAGGGGCCACATGGGTGGGACTCACCTTCTTCCTTCTGCCCACCCAGGACTGGGTCATCGCCCCCCAAGGCTACTCAGCCTATTACTGTGAGGGGGAGTGCTCCTTCCCGCTGGACTCCTGCATGAATGCCACCAACCACGCCATCGTGCAGTCCCTGGTCAGTACCCAACCTACGTGCCTGGACCCCAGGGGAAGGGTGCCCTGAGGGGAGGGACTCAGACAGCAGGGGGTGAATGGGAGCACCTGCTGAGGTTTTGAGGGAGGTTCAGTCCCACAGAGTCTCTCCGGTCGCCGCAGATGAAGAAACAAACTGCATCAGACACGATTTGCCGGACAGGAGAGGGCGTGGCGATTCCCTTCAGTGGATAGTGCCCCCAGCCCTTGTCTTGAAGTGGCTTTTATTGAGTTTAGCTCATATAGGGATACATAGAATGCACATGAAGCTCATTAATCAATGTTAAAGGGTAATGATTAAAGGAAGGAGATATGGTTTAAGGATAACAGTAAAGGGATTACAAGAGTCTTTCTGATTCAGGGTCAGGTAAACTGAGTCATGCCGATTTCAGCCCTGAAACCTGGGAAAATAATCTCATCCTATGCTCGAACCCGAAACATCAGTACTCATTAACTCAAGGGCATTCTTAATAAAGCAGGGTTCATAGGATTTAATGCATTCCTTTTCCAGGCCTAATTGTCCCCAGGAACTGCCCGATCCAGTTTAGGGCTGTACCTGCCTCTAGTGTTGTTTCAAGCCTGAGTCAGGCGTGGGGAGCGGAGCAGCCAAGAGATGAGACTTCTTTCAGACAGAATGAGGACTCCGGCCATGACAAAGCCGGGGGGGCGGGTCTTTTGCCCCTTCTCCGTGTCCTCCAAGTCCCTCCCTGATGGCCCCTGTGGGACCGTGCCTGTCTTCGGTTGCCCCTGCCATCCTGGGGTCTTACCTGTCACTGAGTCACCAGCCATCCTCCAGGGCCAAGCAGGGTGATGTGAGGGAGGCAGGGGCCTCCCAGGGGGACAGGTTTTGTCTCCTCAGTGGCCTGTTTTCCCAAGGCCTCCTTGCTCAGCTCCAGCCTTGGGGCCCTCTTGCCTGTTGGCGAGGCCATGGTGCCTGAAACCAAGCAGGACAGTTCCCAACAGGGACTCAGGGAGGCTTCTCCACATGGAACCGTGACTGTGTGCACATGTAGTTAAGTTCCCTGTGTGGCCACACTGTACACAGACTCATTGCTGGTGCACACATGTGCACACACGCAGGTACGTGTGGTGGGACCCAGACTCATAGAGGCAGCCTGCTTGTGGTCACTCGCACACACACACAACCCCCAGATGTACATCCCACCTGGGCACCTGTGTGCTCTGAACACACGTGCCCCTGTGTACGCTGGATTGTTCAACCTCCTGTGACATGTGCACACGGGGTGAGACTCAGGCATGTGTGTCCACCCACCCTCTCCACAGCGAGTGCGGTGAGTCACCGGTGAGCCCTTGCGCACAGGGCTCTTCTGAGCGTGAGCTCCCCCTTTGCTTCACTCCCTGTTGGCCCTTTCTCCTGGTCCTCCCCGCTCCTGTTCCCACAGGTGGTGTGGCCTTTGATGCTCCGGTGCCTGGAGTAACTTTAATGCCGAAAAATAATTTTTATGAGAACTATTGCTGCTTGCTTATTGCTCAGTGTTGTGTGTGTGTGTGTGTGTGTGTGTGTGTGTGCGTGTGTGTGTGTGTGGAGACTTCCTTCTAGAACATTGACCTGGACTCCTAGTTCCTAGCATGCCCGAGCCTTACGTTGACGTAGTCAGAGGTTGGCAAGGTGATGCCTTAGGGCGAGAGGAGATGGATGTACGGCCATTTGCTGTTGAGACCGTGCACGGCCTCCTTTCTCAATGTCAGATGGGATTTGCTGGACCCCGGGGGCTGCCTTCCTCAGTGAAACTCAGGGGTGACAGGCCGTGTGTGACGGCCACCCAGGCCTCCCGTCCTTCATGGATGTGTGTCTCCCGGGCCCTGTGCGGGGTGTGGGTGAGGACTGCACCTCCAGGGCTGCCCCTCCCCCCGCCAACACCTCTGTCCAGGCTTTAGGTCCCACTGTTGGTCAGCAGGAGCGAGTGCTCAGGCTGTCCTGGGTGCAAACAGGGCAGCAGCTGCCTTCTCGGGGGAGCGGGGGCTGTCACTGACACACAAGCCAGGGGCACCGGGCCTCAGCATGAGGAGGGAGACGTTCCAGGCAGAAGCAGCGGGTGCAGAGGCCCCAGGACAGGAGCAGCTGGCGGGCCTGGCCTGCGGGGAGGCGGGGCTGGAGAGGAGCGAAGGAGGCCCCTGGGAGGTGACGCCGGGTGGGCAGGGGCCCCTAACACAGGCCTCAGGGTCCCTGGCAAGGTGGCAGGTGGGTGGATCTCATCCTAAGTAAACTGAGATGCCGTTGCAGAGTTTTAGGGAAGCAGTGTCAAAATCTGACTGACTCTCTGGAAGCATTTTCCTGGCTGTGGTGAGCGGGCTGGACCACGGGTGGAGGGTCGAGGAGGCTGGGGGCAGTGAGGAGGCTGCTACAGTCACTACGGTCACCTGACAAGAAGACCAGGGTGGCTGGCAGGTGGTGAGAATAGCCAAGGCCCTGAATACGGTGGAGGCAGGGTGGCTCCCAGGATCGGGTCGGGAGGGAAAAGGGGAGGAACCAGGGGCCTCTAGGGGAAGGCTGAGCCAACATGTGGGTGAGGCCCGTGGGGAAGAGTTGTTGGGGTAGGAGGGGGGTGGGAGTCGGTCATCTGCTTCCGACACCACACATTTGAGTCCCATTGAGACCCCATGTGGCCAAGCTGGGTGGGCAGCTGGATCCCAGAGTCTGGAGAAGAGAGGAAGCCAGGCCGGAGCTCTGAACTGAGAGATGTGGCCTGCATAGCTGGTCTTTGAGTCCTTAGAACAGGTGAGATTCTCCAGGAAGATGCAGGCATAGGAGAGGAGAGGCTATGAGGACGGGCTGCCCCTGTGGAGGGGCCTGGGAAGGAAGGGGAGACTCGGGGAGGCTGGGGGCGTGATGTGAGGGGAACTTGAGGTGTCCTAGGGACCTAGAGAAGGAGAGTGTCCCTCCAGGCTCACCCTTTGGGCCATTATCCACACAGCAGCTATGGGGGCAGGGGGGGGGGGTCGTCTCACTAAAGCAAAATCTGGCCCCATCCGTGGCTGAGAAACTTCCCTTCACTTCCCGCCGTCTTCAGGAGGAAGTCTGAGTCCTCCAGCACAGTCTGGGGCCCCTCGTTAGCTGCTCTGCCGACCCCGCCAACACCTATAGCACACATCCCGCTGCCCTCCTCTCCTTGCACCTGCTCAGGGCCAGCATGTGCCGCAGGTTTTTCACCTCCCTGCCTTCCTGCCTTTGCACTTGCCATTCCACCTGGAGGGCCTCCTCCGCCCTGGGCCCAGCTAACTCCTGACCACCCTGCGAGCCTCGCCCGTGGTCCTTCCCTGCCAGGGGTGGTCACCAGCGCTGATGCGCGCGCAGCGCTGGGGGTCTGCTGTGATTGTTGTGCCACTTTAGTAGGTCCTGGTTGTCTATCATAGTGTCTCCCTGTGTCACATTCCCTCTCCACCAAGGATGAGAGCAGGGACCATACCTAAGACATTTCTGTGCTCCCTGTCCTGGCACGGCAGTGACAAGGCATGTGCATCAGATACATTTGTTTTGGAAGGGAAAAATACCAGCATACCCATTTAGCAGAGTAGAAAACTGAGGTCCACAGATGTGCGATTTATACCCACAGTAACAGAGCCTCTGATTTGGTCTCCTAGTGTCTCAAAAGCAAACAGAATGGAATGGCACATTAGGCTCTGCACATCGACCTGTTTGGTGCCACGTGGAATAAAAGGCAGCTTCTCTTTCTGTCATTGATCTGACAATGCTCTGGTCCTGGGTGGAGTCGCAGGAAGGCAGCATCCCCACCCTCCTTGGGACTCTCCAGTGTCCCAAGTCAGGAAAGGCCTCCACGGTTTTTAGCCACTTCGAGCCCCATCATGACTGGCACACAGGGCGGTGTTGCCTGGTTCCTTTCACATGAGCCTATGAATGCCAAGGCCAAACATCACATGTGGAGGCTGGGAAGTTGGGGAGCAGCGGCCCCCACGTCCCAGTCTGGCTGGACGTCCCCTCAGAGGCCTCGGCTCCCCAGCGGGCCGCAGAGAGGCTCTGGACCCCAAGCCAGCCCAGTGCCCTGCCGACAGTCCTCCTGGCAGGCGGGCTCAGAGCCGGGGCTTTGGGGACAAGGCATTGGGGAACGGGGACCAGGCTGCCGGACGGGTTCCCCCATAGGACAGCTGCATCCAGGTCCTGCTCTGCAGCCTCCGTGAGGACTGGGTGGTTCTGGGCCATCGGAGCGACCACGCACATGCGCCCGTGCACACATACAAACACACATGTGGAAATAGGTTTCCTTTTCCCTGCTGCCCCCTGTAGCTTGGGGCTGCCTTTTGGGCCGTCGGTTTGGGGCCCTGACGAGGAGCCCAGTGTAAACCCAGCTCCTGCTGCCAAGTCCCAGGATAAATATTTGTGTGGAGGCTGAAATAGCTCCTCAGTCAGGTTCAGTCAGGTGGGTGAGTCTGTTCAGGGGGAGGGCGCAGGATCAGCGCCTGTGGTTCCAAGTCCTGCAGCAGCTCGCGTGGCCGTGTGCCCTCGGTTTCTCCACCGGCCAGAACGAGACTTGCCTTAGAAGCTGCTACGAGCGGCGAAAGTGCTCTGGGAAATAACGGTGTTGAGCACCCAAGGGCGACCCTGGAAGCCTGGGCTTTATCCAGTTGTTCCACGAACACTCGCTGGATCCCAGGAGGGGGACCCAGACAGTAAACAGTGAAGGTGGATGAGACATGATCAGGGACGTTATGGAAGCACAGAGAAGAGGGAGGAGTGGAGGGGACCCTGGAAGGGACCCTAGAGGCTCCAGAGTCTCAGGCCGAGGGACGTGCCAGCAGTGCATTGTGTGCTGGGGACCAGCAGGGTCTGAGGGTTCGAGGGGCGTGGGTGTGGCAGGGAGCAGGCAGGTACCTAGGCTGTGCCCTAAGGGTCTCAGGGCTGGGAAGGGAAGGGGTCACGGAGGGCAGATTTTCTGTGACACCTGCGCTGGCTGCAGGTCTGTGGAGCAGGGGAGGGGCAGGCAGGAGCTGGGGGCCCGGGCTGGGCGGGCCCTGGGAGAAGTCCGTGGTGCTCACGCCTCTGCCTGCCGCCCTCCTCCCTGGCCAGGTGCACCTGATGAAGCCAGACACTGTCCCCAAGGCGTGCTGCGCGCCCACCAAGTTGAGCGCCACCTCCGTGCTCTACTACGACAGCAGCAACAACGTCATCCTGCGCAAACACCGCAACATGGTGGTCAAGGCCTGCGGCTGCCACTGAGGCCCCGCCCCCGGCCGCGGCAGCGCCTCCCACCGGACCAGCCCCTCCCCAGAAGCTGAGACCCGCAAACCCAGCCAGACCACAGACAGGACTGGCACAGAGTCCTCTGAGATCCACATGTCCATGCCCCTTCTTCCTCCCTGCCTGGGCTGGGTCCTTTCAGGCCCCCTTGACACTTCCACTGCCTGAGACTGTGATAGATTCTGGCCTCCAGTCCTGGTGGTCTCAGTCATCAAGCTGGATTCTGTCCCAGCCCTCGCCCTTTTGGGGTACTTTGGGGTTGGCACAAAAGCCCTGTCTGAGGACCTGCCCTTGCTCACTGCTGGCCCAGGCTGTGGACAGACGTGGAATGACCTGAGAGGCACCTGGAGCCCAAGATGGCCATGCAGGCCCTCTGCTATCCATTCCAGGTTTGGGGATATATAGATGGGCCTGGCCCACCTCCGGTTGCCTGCCCTTCTCAGGGGCAAACCTAGGCATTTCTGGGCACTTCTGTTAAAGAGCATGGACTTGCCCCCTGTGTTTTCTGTTTGCAGATCTGAGTTACCAAACTGCTGGCCACGGGGAGGCGGGCGGGCAACTCCAGAAAGAGCCGAATGAACAACATGGTTTAGGGCTAAGACCAATGACATTTATCTTCTCTCTTCCTGTCCTTGATCTGTCTCTGCTTTTTGGGGAAGACGTTCAGTACATTGAAATTTTGCCTTTGGAGAAACAAGAATTCTCTGTGGTTTCACTGACCCATCTGTCTTCGCCATGTTGAACCATTGGGAGTTCAGCGTGGCAGGAAAGTTATCTTTTTACTAAGCCAAGTATACGTTGGGTGGCCCAGGATGACAGTGCCCAGCACAGATGACATAATTTTCCTTTCCCTTCTACACGGCAGACATCAATAATCAACCTTGATATTTTTACTCCCAGATCTGGATAGAATGTCAATGTGATCAGCACGGAACTCCAGGCAGCCACTGCCAGCACATTAGAGATGGAAAACTCTTTGCCATCTCCTGCTAAGGAGCAATCCATTCCACCCAGAGCAACGTGTCTGTGATACTGGGTGGCCTGTGGCCAGGTGTGGGACCAGGACAGGGACTTGTCAGCACCTGTTGTGTCCATAAATTGTCAAAAACAAGCTGGTCACCAAAGTCTGCGTCATCCCGTGTGCCCAGGAGCCCCATCCTGTTTTCTTGGCTCCTGTGAGCCAAAGAAAAGGCCCCTGTCCCAGGGGAGTGACAGGCAGTAATTAGGATGAGCTGGGTGGGGAGGTTCCCGGAAACCACTGTTCTCCTTGGAGCAGCACAGGCAGTTGGAGTGTTTATTTGATTTCTGACTTGCTAAACCTGTAATTTACCTGCTGGCGCAGACAGAGTCCAGCTGCCCGAATCCTGAAATACTGTGTCATTAATAGCAGATCCTGGGCCCGCCCCAACCCACAGGCACGGCCCACAGAGGCAGAACGACCCGTGTGTTCAAGGACGCGCATCTGTGGGGTTCACTCTGCACGCTGAGGACAGGCTCTGGGAGAGCAGGCCTGGAGCAGGTGGGGGTGGAGGCTGGGGCCGTGCTGCAGGACAGCAGCCTCCACACCTGGACCGGGGCGGGGGTGCGGCGCTGGGAGTGAGTGTGGAGGAAGAGACCCTCCCACAGGACCATACTGACAGGTAGCGAGTTCTTCATCAGTGTAGGGATCTAAGTTTTGGCCTAGACGTCCGGAGACCTGACTTGTAGGTGGCTTCCTTCCTCCTGAGGGCCTCATTTCCTATCTTTAACATGCTCTCGAAAAGGGCCTTCAGCCAAGAAGTCTGTGTCTGAGCACTGATTCCTAGATGCAGCCTCATAACGCTGAACTCCAAGCTCTGGTGGCCATCACAAATCCGAGTCATGAACCAGGTGGCTGTCATGAATTGGCACATAACATGGAACCTATTTGCCATTCTAGTCCTTATGTAACAGTCCTCTCTTCCCAACATCAAGGATTGCCTTTTAGGTAACTGCAAATTTAAAATTAGCCAATTATTTTGACAACTATTTCTTATTTCCCCTGGTATCTTTAGTGCCCAGCAATGGCCTGGCATAGGGAGGGCTGCACCAGAAATGTCTGTCAGATTACCCACAAGTTTGTAGATAGGATATACACCTTATCAGTCAAGCTGTGCACAGCAGGAATGAATAGGAGTTGCAGGACAATTGAAAAGCAGTAAGCTTAACTGCCTGGCCATCTGACTTCCAGCAACTTCTGATATTTAATCACCAAATTAAACAGAAAAAGCCCCAAGCAGTGAAATAATTGTGGGCACAAAGCCCACGCATTTTACCGCATGAGTTACCTTCTTTGCTGACCCAAGCGTGGCAGCTGCAGTGGGTGGCCCAGGCTGGCAGGTACGCAGCACAAGAGGCCACTGTTTCCCTTTCTCCTGTCCCGGACATGGCTTGTTTACCTAGTTACACCGGACCAGAAGGATAAATAAGGATGGCCAGTGCACACCCGTGAAATGACAGCAATGAAAAGTCATTGACAGTTGACAGGAAGGGAGAGCACATGGAAAAACAGGCTAAGGAGAAATGTATGTCAGCCTTGGTATTTGTAGTGCAATGTTGGCCTCAAGATCCAAGTTGTCTTCTAAGGTAGGGAAGTCACATGTTCTGGAAATATCCCTAAGAAATAGGAAAGAGGCAGAATAGCAAGAGTACAGATTGGGGAGCCAAATAGATTTGAATCCTGGTTCTTCCTCCACATAACAGGATATTGGGTCTTTCCTTCCAGGCTGTTATAAGGATCAGATATGTACATAAACATTTTGGACAATGTCAGGTTAATAAATGCTGAACAGCTGGCACCTGCTGATATTATAAATGAATTTGCTAATTTTGAGCCCCTTCTATGCTTGTCCACTAAACCTCCTCCCAGAATGTGTCCTGTGGGTGACGGTGTATTTATTTCAGAGCTGGGCTTCTCCTTAAAGTATCTGCAAACTGTAATCGTTCAAGGGCAGGACTTGAATTTTCACCTGCTTGAAAGGCCTGAGGCAAGTGTCCGGTGTTGCCTGCAATGGTCAGGGCTGTGCAGTTTCACTGTGTTCCCTGACACGGGGATCCCACTGTCCTGTACAGGGCGCTCAGTGCCCAACAAGTGCCTCTGAGCAATTTGGTTTATTTAATGTACGTACCACATCTTAAAAAAATTTTTTTTATTTATTGATTTTAGGTAGAAAGAAGAAGGGGGCGAGAGAGAGGGAAACATTGATTTGTTGTTCCATTTATTCAGGCATGCATTGGTGTATGTGCCCTGACCAGGGACTGAACCTGCAACCTTGGCATATCTGGACGATGCTCTAAATGAGCTACCTGGGCAAGGACTCTGAGCAATCTGAACAAGGATTGGTTCTTCCCAGGTTTTCCTTCTTATGCAAAGGTCTTGTGCAAACTCTTGGCCCTTTTTAAAAAATGTGTTTATTTACTATAAAAATAATGCAGTTTTGGAAAGAAGTTTAAATAAAAACAAACAAAAAAATACAAGTCACCATAGTCCTAGGACTCAGATAAACACACTATTAATAATATTTTGTGAATTTATTTCTAGTTTTTTTCCTCTTAGAATAAACATATATAGAGGTTTACATTTTATAGATAGGTATTTTTACAAGATTAGTATCGTATTGTATTAAACTACTTTGAGATATGCTTTTCCCACTTTCTTATATGGTGAAAATTTCCCTGTTAATAAATATTTTTTGAACACATGGCTTTCTGGTTTTCTATCACCTGAACTGAGACTTCAGTCTTCACCCCTAAAGAAGTACGTCCCACAACTTCCCTGGAGGTTTGCTGCAAGGCTGCCGTGACTGTGGCGAATGCACGGCGCCAGCAGCACCTGAGGCAGATAAGCTGTCAGAGAGGAAACTCCAGCAGCCACAGGACTGTTCCCAGGGCCACAGCCCTGGGTGTCTCCCTTGGTGCGGCTGTCAGAGGGCCAGTGCAAGGGCTGGGCCCAGCCCTAAAGGACCTAGGGAATGAACTGGCAAAACCAGGCCCATGTCCTTGGTCCTGGAGCAACAGCAACGTGGACAAAGGAGGCCGTCTCAGGTGGGAGCCAGGCAGTCCTAGGAAAGCAGCTTTGACCTTCAGGCTGCAGCAAAGGCCCCACAGCGCCCTCCTGAGCGACGAGGGTCACTGCTGTGCTGAGTAGTTGAAGTTGGCAGCCAGGGTACTGTCCCCAAGCTGTGAGGCCTTCCTGCTGCCTGGCACGGCCGGGCCATGGGTCCCCCCCACCACAGACTGAGCCTAGAGCCCCGGAAAGCTCCCAAGACTCATTGTGATGGGGGTGGGAGACAGGCCAAGCTTCTGGTCACAGCTCTGCCACCTTGTCCCAGGGGACCTTCACAGTCATGTCCCAAACCTTGGTTTACCTCTGAAGAGGGTTCCGGGGCGGACACAGTGAGATCACACCAGTGGACACCCTGGTAGGCCCCTGCGAGGGGCAGTGGCACCAATGACTCCAAACCTGCTGGGCTTTCCGCACTTTGGAGTCAGCCTCAACCTCCTCAGGCCTTCAGGGAAGAGTGGCAAGTGGCAGGGTCACCATTGCGAGTCGGTCCTCTTTCAGGCTGGGGGAGCTAAATTCTTCACTTTTCCTGGTTCCTGTAAAAGCCCTGAAGTCGCTGCCATCATCCCCACTTCACCAAAGCCTGTCCACCCCTGTGCCTGACCTGCAGGGGCTACAGTGTACACCGATGGGGCTCTCTGCTTGGAGGGTCTTGCTCAGAAGCTCTGGGGTAACCGTGGTACATCCCAGCCACAAGGAGACAGAAACCTGGCCACCTCCAGCAGAGGGCGCTCAGCCAAAGGCTGGGAGTCGGTCTGCCCGGGGAGCCAGAGGCAGAGCCAGAATGCCACCACCCCTCAGCAGGAGCTATCCCAGGAGCATGGCCGGAGGGCAGCAGGCCCCTCTCGCCTCCTGTAGATCTGAATGGCGTGGGCAGAGGGCTCAGTCCCTGCTCAGA